ATTGTTGAGGGAACTAGAAATATTTAGACTGAAGATTCAGAAAAAATGGCAACTATCTTCAAAGCAGTGGAGGGTTGCCACGGGAAGAGCCCTGGGGACAAGCCAAGGACAGCGCTGTGTGAAGCTACAGAGGCAAATTTCAGTGTGATTTTGGAAGAACGTTCCGACCATCAGAGGCCCATCCCTGCGGTGGACTGCCTCCTGGGCCAGTCCCACATCCACCGGAAGCTGGGCGTCGAGTTCCAGTCTGCAAAAGGCTTTCAGTTACCAGGGGAGAGTTGGACCAGACAGTCTGTGCAATCCTGCTACCCCAGACCTCCTGATTCCACAGGGCTCTCTGCACCAATTTTGGCTTGTTTGGGTCTATTTTTATTAGAGCATATTCCCTTGTGACTACAATTTAATGTATAGCTAAAAAAAATAAAATTAATACAGAACTACCACCATTTGACTCAGGGAAACTTCGACCTCCCTGCAGCTGCAGCTGCAGATCACCCGTCTCCATTTCTGGAGCTGTGTTCGGCCTGAGCCTGGCTGCTTGCCCACTGCTGCCCTCTTGTGGAGGTGAGGAGTACACCTGCTTAGAAAGCAACCAAGACGCATTTGAGCCTGCTGTCTGCAAACACAGTCCCACCTTTTTCCTTCCCCCAAGTCTTCACTTTTGGTGTGAACCCAGGAGTACTTCACCTTAGCCTATCAGGACTTTTTGGTTACAGTCACACCACCATTATGTCCCCTAAAATACTGGACTTTTAGCCGCAATAGAAAGTCCTGGCTTTCACCGAGTGGTTGGAATTTGCACCTGCCTGCTTCGGGTTATGGAGAGAACGTGGATGTTGGCACAGGACTGTGGAAAGGCCAGTCGACCAGGTTTGAAGGCCTCAGTTGTAGCTCATGTGCTGACATTCCTATGTCACCTTGAACAAGTGACAAATTTATCACACCTATAAACTGCTCTGGCATTTGGAGATGAGACCCTTCAGAGAAGAGGGGTCTATCCTAGGAGCACTGCTCACAGCTGCTATTCACAGCACAAGGCCTACGGTTCTGCCCCAGCCAGGGGCCCGGCAGCACCCAGGGGGCACTAGCCAACCAAGGCCTTGTTCATCAGTGCCTTCGCCCTTGGCAACAGCCAGAGGCAGAGGTTTTTCTTTTCTCTTCAAAAGGGCCCACAATCTCGAGGTTGCTCGGGTGCCTGGAAACATTTACCAAGTTCTCCAAGCAGGTTTTGCTGTCCTTGCTGAGGATACAAAGCCCTGTGACTGACTGGTCACTGGAGGGACTTCTCACAGCTTCACATGAGGGGGCCACCACTGGGACAGCACATAGTTTGAGTGCTGGGCAGGTTGTGCACAAGGCCAAACAGCACAGTGGTTTGGAGTAAAACCGCAGTTGGCAGCTCAATGAGGAACATGCCTTTTACTTTGTGTGTGGGTCATGAACTGTCAAGACACTTTAATGAAAAGAGTCAAGAAAGAGAATAAAGATTTAACAGGCAATCGATGATTGTGGAAACTCTTCGGCATTATGAAGGGCATCACAAACACCACCTTCGCCTGGAAGAACGGACCTATAATCACGTATGCTGTGGCTGAGATCATGCAATGATTTCAAGGAAGTTAAGGAGCAGGGAAAGTGATCACCAGTGTAGAATGTAAGAAATGCAGCTCCTCAGGGCTGACCCCGCTAGACTCCCATTCCCAGGGACTCAGCGGTCCCACACTACAGAGTACTTCACATTATCCTTTCGATATTTACCTTAACACAGGACATCTCTCCATGTCAGCATATAGATGATCTATTTCATTCTTTAGAAAGACTCCATAACACTCCTTTGTATTAACTTACTATCATTTACCTAGTTAATCCCCTATTAATGGACATGAGTTGTTTCCAATTTTCTGTATTACAAACAATACTGCAATAAAGCCCTTAGAAGATACTATATTAATGTACACTTTTATGCATTTTTTGACATAAAATATTGAACCCTATTTTTTTCATTTTTTGATTACAGTTTTCAGTATTATTTACTAGTTTGAAGTGTACAGCTTAGTGGTTAGACAGTTACATAGTTTATGAAGTGCCCCACCGCACCCCATAAGTCTAGCACCCCCCCAGCCCGCCCCACACATAGTTAATACAGTGTTATTGACCACGTTCCCTGTGCTGTGCTTTATATCCACACTGACTATTCCATAACTGCCAATTCATACTTCATCCCTGCACCATCCTCACCCAGTCCCCCACCCGCTTCCCATCTGGCAGCCATCACTGTGTTCTCTGTGTCTATGAGTCTGTTTTGTGTGTTCATTTATATTGTTCTTTAGAGCCCACACACAAGTGAGATCATATGGTATTTGTCAGATTTATTTCACTTAGCATAATAACCTCCAGGTCCATCCATGCTGTCACAAATGGTAAGATTTCATTCTTTTTGTGGCTAAGTAATATTCCATTGTATATATGTACTTTCTCATCTACTGATGGGCACTTGTTTCCATATCTTGGCGACTGTAAACAATGCTACAATGAACACAGGGACTCATGTTATCTTTTCAAATGAGTGGTTTGGGTTCCTTAGGGTAAATACCTACAAGTGGGGTTGCTGGGTCATATGATAGTTCTAGTCTTAAGTTTCTGAGGGCCCTCTGTACTGTTTTCCACAGTGGCTGCATTAATCTGCATTCCCACCAGCAGTGCATGAGGGTTCCCTTTTCTCCACATCCTCGCTAACACTTGTTTGTCAATTTACTGATGATAGCCATTCGGACAGGTGATATGTCATGGTGGTTTTAACTTATATTTCTCTGACTAGTGGTGTTGAGCATCTGTTCATGTCTATTGACCATCTGTATGTCCTCTTTAAAGAAATGTCTCTTTGGGTCCTTGCTCATTTTTGAATTGGATTGTTGGGGGGGGCAGGTATTGGTGTTAAGTTACATGAGTTCTTAGAGAGATCTTATTTATTTTTAGAGAGGGGGAGGGAGGAAGAAAGGGAGGGAGAGAAATATCAATGTGTGATTGCCTCTTGCACATCCCCTGTTGGGGACCTGGCCTGCAACCCAGGCATGTGCCTTGACTGGGAATCGAACCAGCGACCCTTTGGGTCACAGGCCTGCACTCAATCCACTGAACTACACCAGCCAGGGTAAATTTTGAATATTGCTCCCTTAATAGATGTTGTTATTCGGTTTGTCTTTTAGTTTTGTTGGTTTCCTTTGCTATGTGAAAGCTTTAGTTTGATGTAGTCCCATTTGTTTTTCTTTCACTTCCTTTCCCTGAGGAGATATATCAGAAAAAAATATTACGAAGAGCAACATCAAGAGAGTTTATTGCCAATTTTTTCTCCTAGAAATGTTATGGTTTTGAGTCTTTAATCTTTTTTGAATTTATTCTTGTACATGGTTTAAGGTTGTATAGTTGAATTCTTTTGCATGTATCTGTCCAGTTTTCCCAACACCATTTATTAAATAGACTGTCTTTATCCCTTTGTGTATTGCCTCCTTTGTCATAGATTATGTAAGTGTGGGTTTATTTCTGGGCTCCATGCTGTTCCACTGATCTGTGTCTGTTTTTATTCCAGCACCATGCCATTTTGCTTGCTATGGCTCTGTAGTATGTGTGATATCCAGGTAGCGTGATCCCTCCAACTTTGTTCTTCCTTCTCAAGACTGCTGTAGTTATTCAGTGGTTTGTGGTTCCAAATACATTTTAGGATTGTTTGTTCTAGTTCTATGAAAAAATGCCACTGGCATTTTGATAGGAATTGCACTGAATCCATACTATGTATGGACATTTAACAATAGTAATTACTCCTGTCCATGAGCATGTTAATATGCTTCCATTCATTTGTATCTTCAATGTCTTAGAGTTTCCCAAGAACAAGTCTTTTATCTCCTTGGGTAAATTTATTCCTAGGTATTTGATTGTTTTTTAATTTGTTAATGTATTCTTTTTTTATTGTTGATACTGTCACAGATGTCCCCTCTTTCCCCCCTTTGCCCACCTCCACCCAGCCCCCACCCCTCCTCCCCCAGCCCTCACCACATCGTTGTCTGTGTCCATGGGCTCTGCATGTATGTTCTTTGGCTAATCTCTAATATTTTATTGTTTTTGATGCAATTATAAATAGGATTGTTTTCTTTAACATTTTTTAGAGAGAAGGGGAAGGGAAGGAGAAAGAGAGGGAATGAAACATCAATGTGTGGTTGCCTCTTGAGCCCGGCTACTGGGGACCTAGCCAGCAACCCAGGCATGTGCCCCAACTGGGAACTGAACCGGCGACACTTTGGTTCGCGGGCCCACACTCAATCCACTGAGCTACACCAGCGAGGGCTCAGGACTGTTTTCTTAATTCATCCTTCTGATAGTTCAGTATTGGTGTATAAAAATGCAACTGATTTCTGAATATAAATTTTGTATCCAGCTACTTTATTGAATTCATTTATCAGTTTTAATAATAGTTTTTTGTGGAATCTTTAGGGTTCTCTATATATAGTATCATATAACTCTTTTTAAGACCATTTTTTTATAATTAGGTTTTCCCATAAAAGATGATTTTCCTTCAAGAGTTGGCTTGGTAACTCTCGAAGGTTAAGTTTTTGCTGTCTCCTCATGGTATTTTTAGTTTAGTGTGGGGAACTCTTCTGTTGTCCCCTAATACTGGATAAGCTAACCTCCCCTTACCAGTATAATGAAAAAGTTCAAAAGCAGACAATGTTTGTTGACCTCAGTTACCTTGCATCATCTATACTTGCTAAAAAGAAAACATCCTACAGTGAGGTATTTGTTACATTAGTCTTAATACATTTTCTTATTTACAAGGAATCACACAAACAGAAGTCAGTCAACTGCCAGCAATGCATGTTTCATGAGTCATTTAATTAGCCTGAGCTTGAAAGATACTTTTTCTCTTCCCAAATACTTTAAGCCCACTGAAATGAAAATTTTTTCTCTCTAAAAAAAAATTGATCACAGTGAAGGTTCATATCAAGGCATAATTTTAATGGGCCTTTTAATTAGCTTTTATCACCGATAGAAAAAGGTACACTGAGAAAATGTTTTCACTAAAAAAGGAGTAACAAATTAACAGGAGTACTACCCAACCAACTACTCCTAAGTATTATATGAGTACTAAGCCAATCTGCCTTAATAAAAGTTTGTTAATAAAAGTAGCCTACTCTGAGTGTCCACCATGGACCACTGTTCTGGTGTCTCACACACAAAACCTTTAGTCCTTGGAATAACCCTGTTACAGAATGGACCCACGGGGGGGTCTCTCTCTACTATTATTCTTTGCCTGCCGCCCTTAGGAATTGTGGCTCTTGGTGCCAGAGTTTGGTAAAAAGGAAAGGAACCATTTAAATAACGGTTATACAGGTTTAGAATAATGGCAGAATTCCGCTGTTAAATCTCACTCCCTTTAGAAATGAAGATACACCCATAAACACACAGGCCTGCCCTCCCCCTTCTGCCCAGTCAGGCCAGCCCCAGAGCACACCAGTCAGAAGCATGGCCCTCCAGAAGGAAAAACAGAAGACAGCAGCTCATGGTTCCTCTCCCGGTTCCTCCCAGTAATCCGTGCTCAGCGGTTCCCAGCACCGTCAGCTGTGTCACTTCCGTGATCCCAGTTCTTAATCCAAACCCACGTAGCACCTACTCAAGGCCCACCAGCAAGAGTCCTTTCACCCCTTTCCTTCTTGCATTGTCTCTCTTGCATTCTCCCGAACCACTGAGAACTCTGTGTGTCTGCTACATCTTGCCTTCCTGCTGCCTAAGCCACGTGGTTCAAATCCCCAAAACTGTGTGATTAGAACCCACATGGCTGGTGCACCTGTGCTTAAATGCCAGCGTGGATCTTCCTCTGCAACCCCATTTCCGGCTCCTCCCACAATCAGCTACACCTGCCCGCCCTCCACTGCTTTCTGCCTTCTTTGGCTGCCAGTCCCGGCAGGCATGGCCCCTTGGCATGGAGCAAGCCACCTCCAAGCTCTCACACAAGCACTGTAACCAGAGGGAACGGCCTCCCAGTTACATCACAAGGTCTGTTATGCATATCCCCCTAGCTACACTTGTTGATATGCAAAATAACTCAATGGCCCTGCTCCATGTGTCCCACCAGCCAGTCCAGACTTGTGGGGGTGGGATATCCTATGTTTATTTCCTGGTCACCTTGAGTTCTGGGCCCCGTTACCAACCCCTCTTTGGGGTCTGTACCCCACTACAGCCCTAGAAGGAACATAACAAACAGACAAATGAGCACGGCCACAGTTAGTGGCAACAGCAGGAGACCACAGGCCTCCCCAGCTCCTGCCGTGACTGGACCCCTCCTCTGCATCTCCTACACGCTCCCTGTTGGAAACAGGATGCCCCCATGCCACCACATCCTGCTGCTTTAACCAGTGTTTCTGACATACTGGACATCTATTTAAATTTATTTTTATCCTCACACCAGGACATGCCTACTGATTTTAGAGTGAGGGAAGGAGAGGGAGAGAGAGAAACATCAATGTGAGAAACAGTGACTGGCTGCCTCTCACACACACCCTGACCAGGGACCAAACCCACTTACACCCTAGGTACAGGCCTTGACCGGAATCGAACCTGCAACCTTTCGGTTTAGGGGATGATGCTCCCACACCAGCCAGGGCTACTTAAAACTTTATTTGAAGTGAGTTTTGGCTTGCTTCAATCTGTATTTCATTTTCTATCTATGCCCACTCTCATTGTGGCAGATGGGCCTAGAGGTCCTGAAAATGTCTGAAACAAAGAACGATACAGACCCCGCAGCGACTTTCAGCACGGGATCAGACTGCAGAGTTGTTGGAAGAGGTGCCACAAAGAGCCTGAGAAGGGCAGCCTGACAACCAGAGGGCACAGAACCTGGCCATGCTCCTTGTAACCCAAAGGGCTGGCTCACAACACTGCTTGTGATGCTCTAAACCGGGAATCTAAGAGGTGTACCACTGTATACACTTGCTTGTTGCTGCTGTTTTTCTGATTAGAAGACACAGAATCACTTTAGATCACTTCCATTAATTTAATATTTATTTTTACTTTATATCCAGATGTCACATTTCCTACATTAAAATATAATCATGCTGACTCCCCCCAACCCCCCAACACCCTCGGAGAAAAAAGTGAAGAACTTTACACAACTTGAAGGATGGAATGCACAGAGAAGTCGCCATTGCGCCCAAGTAACAAAGAACATGGAGCTCGCAGGAGACACAGTGGAGTGCAGAGAAGACAGCCCAGGGCTCAGAGCTGGAAGGAGCAGGAATTAAAAGGCTAAAGCTTTTAAACGCTATCACTTGTGCCACAAGATGACCCTGAAGAGGCAGAGATAGGTCAGAGAGCAGGACCAAATACGGGGTTTTCCAGAGGCTGCTCCCTAACAGAGTTTAAAATATCCACGCGCAGCAGAGCTTTCTCCTGCCGCCTTGCCTTCAGCACCTGGCGAACACTTTAGAAAATTACACCACTGTTAGTGTGTCCAAGCGTAAAATGGGTATAGGTTCCCCTTCTTTATTGTACCCCCAAGTCTTTCCAAGCAACAATGCACTAGTCATTTTCATTAGGATCCCTTTGCATGAAAGCTCAGTAGGGATCAAGACAAGGTGTCCCACCACTATCAGATCAACACCAGCTGTGCGAAAGCCGGTGACTGCACTCCTCAGAGGGAGGGCAGACAGTCACACGGGGGGCCCGACCCGTGCGTCCTGAAGAGGACGAGGGGCTCCTTTTCTGCTCTACTCATGAAAGGGAGGAGCAGGGGGACAGCACAGGCCGGCTGCCAGAGCAGCAGCACAGACCCAGCGGCACACTGACAACGCGAACGTGATGCTCAGGAGAGAGGGCCCGGGGCTCTTCCACAAGGAGGCTTCCTTCTGCCCTGCCTGATTTGAAGATGAGAGCATTGTAACTTCCGATAGCGATATTCTTGAGCAGGTGGGGGGGGGGAGGTCTAAACATCCAAATACTGAGGACACCATCAGGCAACTGGCTACCCACTATGTACAAATACACACATCAGTAAGAAATCTCACCTCCATCCCTGCTGCTACTTTAAACAAAGCATGGAAAATCCAGGATTTCTGAACAGGGGATATTTTAAAGTCTGTTAGCAGTTTAAGACACGGCAACACTGGCACAGGATGTCACCTATTCTGTTCTTAATTACAGGGTAACATGGTAAACTCCAACACAAAGGTGGTAATGGGGGGCGCGAAAGGGTACGGACAGCAGAACCAGTATGTCACAAGGGTATTGAGCCAGCGATGAGTGGCAGCTAGTGCTTTGTGGAGTCCCGCGGGTAGAATTCACTCAGGGTGCTCTGAGGGATTCTCTTCAGCATTTCTTTGGGGAAAATTCGGAGCAGCTGCCAGCCAATGTCCAAAGTCTCAAAGACAGTGCGGTTTTCGTAAGGACCTTGTAAAAAAATTGAGATTGGATGAATACAAGCAAATGACTTCCAACTCACCAGTGTCATTCAGGGTGCACCCTGCTATACGACCAGCCCAGTGAGCACGGAGTATGAAAAAGAGGGACGGAGCATTAGGCCTCCCTAGACTGGATGAGACTGAACATGCACATGAGGGCCCAGACCACAAGCACCATCTCAAAGCAGAGAAAAGGGAGAGGCCCGTGGTTAGAGGCAGCAGACAGGCAGTCTAGTGTGTGCAGTGGGTGAGGGGGCCTTCTCCGACAGCTGGGTAGCATCTAAATACCTTGGGCAGTGGAACCCAACCCAGTGTTGTGTCCAGAGGGCAGTGAGAGAAAGTGTTTCCCAGCAGCAGAGGCCACTACAGATGCGTAGAAAGTCTGAAAGGCCACCTGAGCACATGCAGAGGTTGGTGGTTTTCAAAGTTATTCTTCTTCTCACATAGCATAAACCATCCTTATCATGTAAATAAATCTCATTTCTTAACCAAGAAATCAGAGTGGCTGAAGTTCTGGATTCTTTTCTCTACCAGAAGAACTTCAATTTTACTTTAAAAATAAAACACACACACTTGTACACTGGGGAATTTCAATTTTACTTTAAAAATAAAACACACACACTTGTATACTGGGGAATTTTAATGTTAATAAAAAATGTGTCACATAACTAGAAAAGTGCAAAATCCCTAAGTGTGTAGCTTCCTGCATTGTTCCAAAACAAACACACCTGGTCTCAGCACCACTGAGCTCAGGAAGAGTGCTACCACCAGCATTAGCAGGAGTGGCAGGGAGAAACCAAGCAAAACAGCTTGGAAACCCTGTAGGTACAATGAAGCAGAAACCATTATGGACTTTTTAGTAGAGGGACAATCAATAAAAGCTACCCTGGCAATGGCGCACAGGGACAGAAAAGACTGGTGAAAAAGCTGGCCCTAACGGCCAAGGAGGACAAGACCAAAGGCGTTCAGTAGGTCTTAAGACTCCAAGTGTGGCCTAACTCAGAGAGTGGCCAGCGATCAGAAGCTTCAGCATCACCAGGAACTTCAGAACAATGCCCAGTCACTGAGCTGGAGCTAACCAGGACAATGGTCATGCCAGAGGTAGACAGAAACTGAAAGGGAATTGCTACGCAGGTGGTCAGCTGGGAAAAACTTGGGTGCTGACCATGCTGAGCCTCAGGGATGGCACAAACAACGAGGGCTCAGGTGAAGGTGTGGAATTAAAACTTTGGAAATAGGGTAAAGGATCGTACACAGCAATTCAGGCAACAGCACGGGGGAAAAGCCAAAGCTTGGGAATAAGAAAGCACAAAAAGAACAAGCAACTAAGCCTCTGGGACCACAAACAGTAAAGAAGCAGGAAGATAAATCAAAAAAGGAGATGAAGGCAGATGGGTCAGAAAAGTCCCAAACCCCCAAAGCCCGAGGAGATGGCTGCAGAGAGGCTGGGAGGAGGAAGCTCTGGCAAGGGAAGCAACTGTAAGGAAGAGACAGTTAAATGGGAGCTACATCACTGGGTATCGGGGTGGAAGGCAGAGGGGAAGTAGCCAGAATGCTAAGTACCAGACCCTCTTCTCCGATCAGAAGAAAAACTATACAGAGACCAATGTGAAATCTCTCAAATTAGGAAAGAGGGCTTCAGAGCTACATATGAAGCCAGTGAAGTTTGTAAGAAAAAAGGCATCTTACCCTGAGCAATAAAGTTCCTCTCAAACTTCTGCAGAAACTCCAAGTAAAGAAGGTCGTCTGAGGTGAGGGCTTCTTCTCCAACCACGGCTTTCATGGCCTGCACGTCCTTTCCGATAGCATAGCATGCGTACTACAGGGACAAGGTTCACAGGACAGAAGGGAGATTTTACCAATGTTCACAGTGGCCAAGGCCACACATGTGTAGCTTTAGTTGTCTTCACAAGAGACCACAGAAGGAAAGTCATGTTATGGACAGACACAACTCACATAAATAAAACTCATGAAAATATCAGAAGGACTTTATTACAAAGCAGTCTCACTCAGGAAGGAGTCTTTAGGTATGCAATAAACATTACTACAAAAATACACTTCCTTAACGTGTCAATGAGCTTACATTTTCTAGAGCATTTGAAAATCAAAACTCATACCACTGAGTACTCCATCCAGAAGTTCAAGAAAAATATTTGTGATATCAGGTGTACCATTTCTACTTCCAAGTTTAAAGTATTTTTCTTTATTTGTGCCTGCTGTACAGTCTCATGCGACTATGGAAACCAAGGAGTCCACAGAATACATAAACCAGCATCCCTTAGAGTTCCAGAGACTGCTTAATATGTTAAGCAAGAAATGTTAGAGCACCCTTTCAGGAATGCCCCATAACTGTCATTAAGGTATGTGTGGTTGCCTCTCACATGCCCCCTGCTGGGGACCTGGCCTGCAACCCAGGCATGTGCACTGACTGGGAATCAAACTAGCAACCGTTTGGTTCACAGGCCTGCACTCAATCCACTGAGCCACACCAGCCAGGGCCTAATGACTTTTTATATTTCACATGAAGTCTCTACTAAAATTGTATGTGGACAGGGAAAAGAAAAGTGATCTGAGAGAAAGATAAGAGGTGTAAGACAGGAGAAAGAATGGGCCAAAGGTATGTACTTCTTTAAAGGCCACCCTTAAGAAGATATACGTACCAGCTGGTTGGAGACGTCAGCGTGATCCTTTCTGGTCATACCTTCACCAATAGCAGACTTCATTAACCGTGACAATGAGGGCAGCACATTAATGGGTGGGTAAATCTTGGGCAGAATGGAAGGGGAAAATACTGTATTTAAGTACAAAATTCAAGCTTTACTGGTAGAAAAGAAGCATTCTGAAACTCATTACTATCCCTAAAATTACATTAAACCGCTGCACTGTTTCCTAGATTAGTTTGAACATGACTGGCTGGTACAAAATACTTCATGGCACAGTATTTCTTTTGAGAATCAAATCCAAAAAGTGAAACCTATACTCAGTATAAGATTATATTGAAAAACTGAATTCTCAATATCTGCCTACAGTATCAAATCTAACTGATCTTCTGAACTGACTCAAAATCACATACAAAATAAAAAGATTAACAATAATTCCACCTAAAGTGTGATCTATTACAGAACCAGAAAAGTCTGTCTTTGATTATTCAGCCATAAAAAAGAATGAAATTGTGTCACTTTCAACAACATGGGTGGACCTTGAGGGCATTATGCTAAGTGAAACAGTCAAACAGAAAAAGATAGATACCTTATGACCTCACTTGGATGTGGAATCTAAAAACAAACAAACAAAAATACCCCAGAGCTCATGAATAGAGAGAACAGACTAGACTGGTGGCTGGCTCCCTGAGGCGCAGAGTGGGAGGGTGAACCACATGGGTGAAGAGGGTCGAAAGGCACCAATTTCCAGCTCTAAAACGCATAAGCCGGGGGATGTGGTGTGCAGCACGGTAACCATGTCAACAGAACTGTACTGCACAGCACACAGCACCCAGGAGAGTGGCCTTCACAATTCTCATCACAAGGAAAAAAATTTTAACTATGGTGATCGATGTTAACTGGACTTATGTGGTAATCATTTTGCACTGTATACAAACACTGAATCATTATGTTGTACACTTGAAACTAATAGATTGGTTATTCCTCAATAAAAAAAAACAGGAAAAAATTGTTTTTGTATTACTACCAAGATTGGTAAACTACACCACTATGGAATAGAATATCCAGAAAAGTTCTTTAAAACAAGTGACTCCATGTAAAGGCACAATAAAGAAAAGTAGAAATTTAATTCTTTATGCTAGCACTCTTATCCACAGCAGGATTTTGTAGTGAAGTCCTCAATTACTATCATTGATTGGTTCTGTGACTTTTAGAGAAATGGCACATAACAAAACCATTTTTAATCACAGGCTAATTGATATAAACAAGAGTTAACTTCTTATTGCATTTCATCAGCTTTAGAACAAAATGACATTGAATTAAACAACATTATTCAAGGATCTGCGGTATACAGAAATGACAAGTTTACAGCTGTATCAAAATCAATTTAAGTTGATATTTAAAAAAAAAAATTCCCAAGAGCAAAATCAAAGTCACAGAAGAGTAGACTTGTGAGTTTCTAGCACTGCTCACATGGCAAATACCTGTCTGTTGTGCAGCTGCCTGTCCACATAGATCTGCCCCTCTGTGATATATCCAGTCAAGTCAGGGATGGGGTGAGTGATATCTACCAGAGAAGACATCTGACATTAGTTAAAGTTGTCCACCTCATGTAAACAAACCCAGAGGACATCCATCTGCATCACCTACAGCATTACCTAAAATGGCCCTATATAAATCATTTCCTCTGACAATGGAAAAGTACTATACTTATGCTGTACGATATGGTAGCAACCAGCCAAATGTAGCTACTGAGCACAACAAAAATGTGGCTAACATAACTGAAAAACTTTATGGTTTTTCAAATTTATCTAATTTTAGTTAACTTTAAAATTTAAACTACAGAATGTGGCTAGAAGTTATTAGACAGTTTTATTTGGTTGCAGCATAGACATGTGTTGGCACATAGGGTAAATTAGCTACAGTATAAAAAAGACTGTATCTGCCCTGGCTGGTGTGGCTCAGTGGATTGAGTGCCAGCCCACCAACCAAAGGGTCACCAGTGTGATTCCCAGTCAGGGCACACGCCTGGGTTGCAGGCCAGGTCCCCAGTAGGGGGCGCTCAAGAGGCAACCACACATTGGTGTTTCTCTCCCTCTCTTTGTCCCTTCCTTCCCCTCTCTCTAAAAATAAATACATTTTTAAAGTACTATTTCTCCTAGTTATGTGACCTCTTCCAAAAAGATTTTTTAAAATTCCACCTTAAATACAAAGTTCCCTTGTAGAGATTTGCCAATGGATGTATACTAAGAATACTCCTAGCTCATAACTATTTCAACATGGAAAACACAGAGCTGCTAGATAAGTAAAGCACCATGATGCACAGCACCAAAAAGGTCACACGAATGGAGACATTTCTGAGTCTGCTAAATTACATGAAGTAACTTTGTAGCTATTTTCTTGAACAGATGACTTTCATGTCAGAGGCAGTACAGTGTACCAGGTGGAGTGAATGATGAACTCAGACGGCCTGCGTTCTAAAGCTCTCACTTCCTGACCTTGACAGATACTTACCTCCCTGTGCCTCAGGTTAGCGACTCTGTCTCAAAGTCACTACGGGGAACAAATGAGTCAATATTTATAAAGCACTCAGAACGATCCTCAAATAGAGCGAGTTATTCCTGTTTCTGGAAAATATCTCATAAAAGTGCTTCATAAAATCCAAGATAAGGACTAAAAGGTCGATGGCTTTGCTTCAGGAGCCACGTGCAGACAGGCGTTGTTTGTGGGCTTTCACGCACACAAAGACAGCCATTTTTAACCAGCCGTTGGTGATCATCTGTCTCCAAAGCCTTTTTTTTAAGACTTATTTTTAGAGAAAGGGGAAGGAAGGGAGAAAGGTGAAAGAAATATTAATGTGTGGTTGCCTCTCATTCACCCCCTACTGGGGACTTTGGCTGGCAACCCAGGCATGTGCCCTGACTGGGAATCGGAATCAAACCAGTGACCCTCTGGTTGGCAGGCTGGCACTCAATCCACTGGGCCACACCAGCCGGGGCTGTCTCTAATGTCTTATGACACATACTGTTTGTGATTTTCATGTGACAGTTATGTCTCTTTATATTTTTTGTGCACATATGTAAAAAATATCCAATTAGACTGAGAAACTTACATGAGGTAAAAACCATACATTCTAAAACCATAAATTCCTCATTATCTAGACCAGTGTCCTGCAAACAACAGGCACTCAACAGTACCAAGTAAATGAAAATTTAAAATTCAAATTATAAAGAAAATTGTTTTTTTCTTCCACAAAAGGATATTGATAATTATGAGCAGTGTTCAAATGAAAACTTTTATTTGGGTACATTTCACTAAAGTGAACTCTTGAAGGATAAACTCTCATAAGAATTTCAACTCAAAAAGGTAGACAGTCTTCTCTCTTGGAATCAAAGTCCCTACAAGAAGTAGGGCTGCCATCATCCAAAAACAAACACTTACCATCATTGGGCATGGTGAGAATAGGGATTTGAGTAATAGAGCCGTTTCTACCTTCCACTCGACCAGCGCGTTCGTATATTGTGGCTAAATCTGTGTACATGTAACCTGGGAAACCTCGTCGACCAGGAACCTCCTCCCTGGCAGCTGAAACCTGACAGTAAGCCCAGGAGGGAAAGATCACACACCAGAACATGGAAAGGAAAGCTTTGTTTGTTTGAACACGCCAAATTACAAAGTTGGAATATTATCTTTTTCATTTAAATATTGCCTCTAAGACTTCATTTACAAAAATCTAGCAATACAAATTCAAATTACCCTGCAACAAAAATGCTGACAATTGGGGATTGGAAGTCTGTTTTTTTTCCTTTTTGCTAAAATCATGTTGCCATAATGTAAATTTTCAAATAGCCTGCTAGAAGAAAATGTGCTTGCAATTTTATAAATCAAAGGAAGTTAATTTTAAAACTATGAGAACTTCTTAGTTCACAAGATTTATTTCATGCCATGGATCTTGCCATGTTTATGTAAGCTAAACCTGAAAATGTCAGAAGGGGAGGAAATCCATACCAGGAGGCATTTAATGTACTTTACATTCATCACTTAATCCTCACAACAACTCTATGAGGAAGGCAATGTTGTTAAATGTCAATATCCTAATTATAACCAAAGGTCAAAAAAATAATTTCTCAAAAGCACAGAGCCAGGAGTCTACTCGCTGCACAGAACATGAATAGGAACAAAAGGTCTTTCTCTTAGAGACATGCGGACTAGAACGTGGGTGTACCCATCAATCTATAGGAACTAAACACCCAAAAGCATGAAGGCCAGGCGTGCGTGCTACTTGGGCACCTCCCGAGTGTGCTACCACAGTGTCACTCAAAGCACACTCTGCACACCAGCTTTATCAATGTGCGATGCGGAAACACAGGAAACAAGATCTGCATTTAGAAAACTTTAATGGCACCCTAACAATTTCACATCTGTTGAGGCTAATAAAAAGTAAAGTATGTATTTTTTAATTTCACTTCTCCAGTAACTCATTTTTGCTGATTTTAGAAAAGTACTGGACTGTGACGTGGGGTGGGGTGTCCTCCACTGACCCGCACAGCAGCAGGGTGAGGTGTGTGTCTCAGAGAATTTTAAGAAGCTGCACAGCCTGTCTCTTCAGAAGTCTTTTCCTTTTTATATGCTTAAAAGAGTAACCTACTCAAAATTTCAGTAACTTGCATTAGAAAAAAACACCCTAAACTTCTGGGTGATAAGTCTAGAATCTTAATACTGTTCCTACGTAAACACTGAGTTTTCCGAAGGAAAAGGTGCTGGGAAGGGAGCTGCCACAATACGGCCTCTATTTTTACTGACATCATTAAAAACAAAATTCGGTAAAAGGTTAAAAATTGACAGTCTGGACAGAGGTAAAACTTTCTGGGAGAGTAACTGAGTAAGTAGCTTGCAACAGTTATCATTCACTCTATTTTAGAGTGAAGTCTTAATCCGTGGAGACAGTGACAGTATGATAAACAGGACAATAGCTGAAATCTCTTCCTAATCACTTCAACTAAAGTGACTGAAAACAAGTTGGATTTTCCTTTCTGATTAATTAAGGTATTCTACTAGTATAAGAGCAACGAAGTTTTAAAAACATGATTAAAGAAAGTAAAAACTTACAAAGAGACAAGATTACCCTGAAAATTAAGCTATTTCAATGAAGGGAAAAGTTACCTCTCGCAGTGCTTCAGCATAAGAACTCATGTCTGTCAGGATAACCAACACATGTTTCTCACACTGATAGGCCAGAAATTCAGCTGTGGTGAGAGCCAAGCGAGGAGTGATGATTCGTTCAATACTGAAACGGAACATTAAGTCCCAAGTCACTCACACAGGCCAAAAACAAAAGAAAATGAGATTCTAGAAATAATAGTACAGTCTCCCTCTAAAAGCTTTAAGTAAACTGAGGAGGGTAAAGCAATTATTACTTTAAAAGTTCTTAAATAGGCAGTTATTTTAGGTATTTACATAATAAAACTTACTTCTACAAAGATAAATTATTTTATAAATAAATTCTCAGAACTACACAGCTCTCACATCAGAGAAGAGGAAAACAAAGAGGAACAGGGTCCCGACTGCTCAGGTAAGAGGCGAGGACCACTGAGCACAGACAGTGCGCACGATGCGGTACAGTGCCGACAGTGGGCTAGGTGACTTCGATGCAGTATCTCAGTGAACAGGCACAAAAGCCTGTGAGTCAAACGCTGCTTGTCACTCTTTCTGGAAGAGAAAACTGAGCTTTGGAGCTTAAGTGAATTGCTCAGAGCCAAATAACTACCAAGAAGTAGAACTGGAATTTAAAGAGTTATCTCATTCTTACGCCCAGGTTGCTGCCATTATTGTAACATTTTACCTCCCTATTCTTAGCCACATTTTTGACCTGAAGCCTGGGTGAGCAGAAAGAAATAGCTCTCTTTACTTACGTAGGGTCATTAGCCAAGTTCAAAAAGAGGCAGACATTGTCCATGGAGCCATTTTCTTCAAAGTCGGATTTGAAAAACCGGGCGGTTTCCATGTTTACCTAAATAGTAATGACTTCATCAGCACTAGCAGAAGAAAACCCTCAACATGTGTTTCTGATGAAGCCAAGCTACAGATCTCCACTGTTCTTTTGTTTAAAGTTTCAAGTCCTCAAAATATTCTCACAGAAGCCAACAGCTTAAACAGCCTGCTTTGGGCACAAAGAGAATTATTCTTACATTTTATAGTCAAATGCCAGATTTTAATCCTTAGTTTGTCCAAAATGCCAAGTTGCAACTTCTCTATGGGGATGTAAATTCCATGATACATGAGTAATTTTCTACACTGTTCTAATAACATAAGCAATCAATTTTATATTTGATAGTAAACCAGAAAATAATTTTACTTACACCCATAGCAGCAAACACAATTGCAAAATTTTCCTCACTGTAGTCCACTACATCTTTGGATTTCTTTACCAAACCAGCCTGGCGGCAGATCTGAGCTGCAATCTGATGAGAAGTACAAAAGCACTGGGTTGAAATCTAAAATAACAAATCTAGAACAAAATAACTTTCATCCTAAACTTTCTGAAATTATACTTAGAGATGAAATTGGGAAGGTTTAAAGGACTTTACCCAACAAAACTACTTTATACTTTTTGGAAAGATTCCTAAGAGTAACTGAGGAGACAGCGATCATACATGGATAAAGGTTCAATGTAATGGATTGTATAAACAGTACCAGTGGGGATTAGTGCCGAAAACTCTTCGGTTTCCCATTAATGTGAAGCATTTAGAAATTCTCCCTCATTAAACTGTACATCAAACAGCTCCTAGCTCTCACCTCATTGTGTGGTAAGCCAGCAGCAGAGAAGATAGGGATTTTCTGCCCCCGAGCAATGCTGTTCATGCCATCGATGGCCGAAATGCCTGTCTGAATCATCTCCTCTGGGTAGATTCGACACTGAGGATTGATTGGCTGGCCTGATGCAGTTCAAAAAGGGAAAATTTTCACATGTCTGTACATGAAGATTAAAACCATATAAAGCATTTCTTTCTACTCTTAAAATAGTTATTTATGAAAGTGGTTAATTTTTTCCACTCGTCTTACATAGACCCAAGAAATATATGGTAGCAGAACTCAAGGTCCTAAAGTGGATAAAGGTGCAGCAAATAAGAGAACAGTCCTCGTTCAAAGCCATGGCTTTACTACTTATGTTTCAGGAATACCCTAGTAATATCTTAAAATATTTTAAAAGGCGAAAGATTTATACGCTCTGAAGAGAAACCAGAGTATCTTAAAATATTCCATACAAAATCTTCAGATGATCTCTATGAAAAATAAAGTTATTAAATAATAAAATAATTAATTACAGAACATGTTGGTTATTAGCTTAAAGCATCACAAAAATCACTCTCTATGTGGCAGAGATGTAAGCTAGATGGATGAAGGCCATTTCTCCCAAACACAGAAACCCACTGACTGTCCTCACCCATGATGTCAAGAAAGTCTTCAGCCAGGACAGCCGGGCCTCTGTCGATAGGTTTTCCTGATCCATTGAATACCCGACCTGTAAAACAGTGAGAGAGTACCGCATGGACAAGGACACCAATATTCATCATTTCTGAGAAGACTTTATGGGAACATGTTGAAAAGCAAACAGATCTCTGCCCAGAATGAGTAATAACATTAATTTACCAAGCATATCCTCAGACACTGGTGTTCGGAGAATATCCCCAGTAAATTCACAAGATGTTTTCTTGGCATCAATACCTGAAGTTCCTTCAAATACCTACCAAGAAAGAGAAGTAATCAGAAGGGTAAAAAAAATTTAAATCATAAGCATTTAAATTTTGTCAGCCCTTATAACGTCAAGTATTGTACATGAATGCACACCATTTTTAATATCATGAACAACTTCTTGACAAGGGTCATGTCTGTAGGACATCAAATTCTACAAGCAAGCTAAAAATGTTTTTTATATTTTTAAAGAATTAATTTAAAAAGAAAAAGAAAGGAAAAAAATATGCATCAGAGACCCTAGTTGGCTCCAGAAAGCCCTTTACAGAAATGTTGCTGACACTTGCTCTAGATTACTTTTTTGGGGGAATGTGTTATTTGAGAAATCTGGCATTTCCCATAATTGGTGACATCAAAAGTTAGGATTAGAGGACATAATTTAAAGAAGCTGACTCAGATCTCATTCTGGTTTCATCCCATAAGCTATAAATTCTGCTTTTCACCTCTCCTTCTACATGATTATCTGCTTCATCTTAACCATTTAAAAAATAAATAAAGCCACCTTGCCGGTGGAGCTATTGGGCTACAGTGCAGATAAGTGGCTGACACTTGGCACAAAAACATGCAGAAATAATTCTCCCCCTACAGCCAGTAATCAATCTCTAAAGATACACTTATTCAATGATGAGGAGAAAGAACACTCGACATTCCTTATATTTCCGTGATTAGGAAAAAGTATAGCTGGCCAGGTTTTGAAAATAATGCTTACCTGAACCACTGCTTTGGAACCACTAACTTCTAGAACCTGCCCACTTCTCCTTGTGCCATCTGGTAATGTCAAGTGAACAATCTCAGCATATCTGGGAAACTAGGAAAAAAATTAAAAAATCAATAACTTAACTTTAGGATTAGAGGTTAAAGTTAGATTTAGGGTTAGAAACTTCCCCAAACACTCCACACACTCTATCTTGATCACAGTGTATATACATATGTGATCCCGCCACCTCCCTCATTCACAAAGGTACACCCTTGAGTTTACAACATCCTGAAGTAGTTCAAGTCCTTCAAATGCTCATCACTGGTACATACACTGGCAAACCAGCATAAGGTACAGAGAGAAGGGTCTTAAATCCATGAAAACGCAGTAATTAAAATTTTTTCCTTCTGTGTATAAAGTTTTGAGACTACAGAAAGGTACAGAACTCAGAAACAACCATGTTCCCCCTACTCAGAACTGCAGTCTGCTGTGTGTGTGACCGGGGCTGTGTGTGATTGCCTGTGTATTTGAGGGGCAAGAGGACAGAATGCAACTAGATAATAAAATGACTATTATAATAAACAAATATCCCCCCCGAAGTCTAAATCTCCTAACCAGATATGTATTCCTTTAATCCATTCTTAACATTTTAAATGCATGTTTCCAAAAATATCGTGTGGTTTTATTTATATAAATGGCAACACACTAAAAATATCCTGCAATTTTTTATTTCCTCTGACCTTATGTTTTGAATTGGTCATGTAATATTTACCTTATTTCATCAACATAATCTATGAGAAGATGCACCGCAATTTTGTGTGACGTGAAGGCAAGCATCTGCCAATTACACTATGACAGACGACTGATGGTAACTTGATTTTGGACATGCTAACGTGAATATATGGGCATCTTAAAATTAATGTTAGAACAGATTATAGTGAAAATAAAATCAAATGACACCACCCTTTATTCAGTCGTTCTGCTGACGGGGTTCAAGGCCGTCCCAAATCTGCACTGCTGCAAACACGCTGCAGGGGACGCTTCCACGTGTGCTCCTCACGGGCTGTGCCCGCTTCCTGCCACACTCCTCTCCAAATGAACAACTGATCCACAGTCTCCCTCCCAGTGTACAAAAGTATCTTTTCCCTACATCTCTGTCAGCTTATATAACTATTATTAAGCATTAATTTTTACCATTTGATAACATAAAAAATAGCATCTCTCTACTTTGTATTTTCAATTCTGCTAACACTGGGCATCTTTTCACGCTCACTGACAACTCAGACTTCATCCCCTATGACTGGCTCATTCATATCTTCTCACTTTTCAATGCAATCTGCTCTTTATTTTTAGGAGTTTTGTAGATTCTAGATACTAATTTTTTTTTGCAAATATCTGCTTTTAGTCTGTTTCTTGTCTTTTAAATTTGTTTATGGGATCTTACCACTTTAAGTTTTAGAACTTTTTATGTTATAAAATAACTTGTCCTTTATGATTTGTGCCTTTTGTGTCCTGTTGAGAAACATTTTCTAAACTGAAGTCATTAAAATGGTCTTTTTTACTATCTTCTAAAATAGGTTTTTTATGTTCAGGTATTTAATCCATCTGGATTTACTTTTGGTAAGGAATTTTACTTTTCTCATTCTTATTCTTTTTAATACAGGAAGCCAAATGCCCTAATAATATTTACTGAGCAGCACAAAATGCGCCCCACTGACTTGCAGGGTGGCCTTTACCAGGTACCACGCCCAGTTCTCACATGTGAAGAGCGTGCCTCGTCTCCCCTGCCGGCACCCCTGCTTACTCCTGCCCCAGATCTTCACTCCTCGTCACTCTACCTCCAATGTCGTAACCTGGGGAGAACCAACACCTTTCTAGTCTGTCGTTCACGAACACAGAATCTACACTTATTTTAAGTTTTATGTCTTTAAACAAATTTTATAGTTTTCTATAAATAGGTACTGATCATTCTAAATAGTTAAGCTGGCACACAGACTACTACTGATTTCTGTAGACTGATCATGCATCCAGCAACTCTGCTTCACACCTTGTTTCCAACAGTTTGTCCACTGAATGATTTGGGTTTTCCGTTTGGTTAACATCACCAAAAAAGGATGACTAGCTGTGCCTTTTTCTTCCTGATCCCTTGACTCCCTAACTTCTTCTTCCCCAGGTCAGCTGGGCTCTGAGCACAAGGATGGAGAGTGGTGGGGACAATAGGACTCCTCGCCTTGCTCCTGACGTAAATGGAAATGTTTCACAGTCTCTCCTAAGTGCGTTATTTGCTGGAGGCTGTGGTGGGTATCCCTTAAGAGGTTAAAAATTTAATCAAGTCCTTATTTCCAAGATTTTTTTTAAAGTAATTCTATCAGCTACTTTTTCTGTATTTACTGAGAAAAGCATAAGCTTTTTCTAGTTTAATCTATGAATGAGCTGAATTACACTGATACGTTTTCTAATATCAAGTATTAGAAAATACTTTGTATCATTACTGGTATAAACTCTAATTTGTCCTAATTGTGCTTATTTTTTGCATATTTTTGCTAATATCCAATACACAAGTACATTTTAATAAGAATTTTGAAACCTGTGTTTTTAAGTGAAAATAGCTATAACTTCCTTTTCCTGTACTACCCTTTGTCTAGCGTGGGAATCAAAGGTGTGCTCACTTCACTGAGATGCACTGGGCAGCAGTCTCCGTTTTCCCCTATTGTGATGCGATTCGTGTGATGGCATCTGCTCCTTCATCCTATGTGTATGCTTTAAGTTAAAAACAAAAGCCAAGAACTGAAAACAAAGCAATCACTCTAAATCTGGTGGTATAAAGCCATTTTTAAAACTCCACAAAATTTACCAGTTCTTTCTCAGCTGGAGCTATATATACCCCAAATATTCAATGAAACTTTCTTAGCTCTCTTAAAATTACTTCTGCAGAGATGTTTTCTAAGTCCTTCCTATTATCGACTCTTACAGTGCCCTGGACTTACTTACCCCTGATAGCACTAAGTAATTAGACATGTCTGTGCCCGTGTTATACCTGCTTCCCCACTGCGCTGTGCTCACTGGAGGAGAGGCCATGCCCACCGTTCACATCATGTTTTCTGGGCTGAGTTCAGCACTTTACATAGTGCTGATGAATGAATATTTTCAAACTTTTCAATAATATATTTATTAATATAAAAGTTTCACATTTTAAAAAAGGGCCCAAAATTTTATTATAGAATATAGAAGAAAAAATAAAGACACAAATAAAGCTTCCTATATTTTCTCAAAAAATAGAAGTGATGGCTCTTTCACAAAGCGTTTCTGGGCATCTGCCTAATCCTTGTACAACTGGAATGCTACACACTGTGGCTGTGAATCAAACTGCAGACTAGTATGAAACTGTAGCTGGGAGGTACACTTGCTGTGAACCTCGAGATTCATTTGTATAGATACCTTGCTATGCACAAAAACATTACCTCAATGAGACAGTATTAAGCTGAAGAGACAATGTACTTTGACCTTTCTTTTAAGAGATGTTTTTCCATTTATTTTCTGCTACAAGAGAGGTCACATGCCAACACACTTCTACCATTACTTTCCTCAACAAACAAGTAACTGTGTGCCTTTCGCCCTAATCCACCACAACAATCGACATAGAATTACTGTTCTGGAGAGCATATTAGAGAAATTATTTTCTCCAGAGATATTTATCACAGAACTCTGGCAGACTTCGCCCAGGATATTCAATTACAGACTATATTCTATGCCTCTAGACTAAGGTAACACTAATGTGTTTATAATTATCACATACATGTGTGGCTACAACAACATGTAACTAAAGTAAAACAAACTGAAAAAGTAAAAACTATACTTTGCTTTAGGGGTTTAGTTTCTATTGAGATAATCTGTATTTATTTATTCAATATTTGAATACTAGTGTCAAGCCCTCAAAGATAAAAAGTAGCATTGTTTATTCATTCATAGACCTTAAAATTTTAGTCGAGAAGACAAAAAATGTAACAAGTAATTATAACACATGGCACTCTATGAAAGAGCCACATATCTGTATCGGTAAGAATCATGTATCATGTCACATGCACACCATCTATCTACATAACATTCTACAGGTTATAAAATATACTTATAAATATAAATATTATGGTTTTTTCCCCAACAGACATGTGAGGTAGGAGTGACAATTTTTTTTTAATTCTGCCGACAACAGACCCTAGGTCACTAACAGATCCACAGTAGATCCAGTACCGGAATCCAGTCTTCTGACTTTTGATCTAAAACTTGTTTCCTATAGAGCACTGACATCCAGACCAAGAGACGGCTGAAAAATCCTGACGTAAAATTTAAAGTATACGTGAAGAGGATTTAATGCCCCATTTTTAACTTCATAAATCGCTAAATGACGATGGTGGTGTCTTACCTTAACATGATCTAAGATCACGAGTGGACCATTGACTCCAGACACTGTCTTGTACGCTGGAAAAAACAGAAGAGTCAGCTTTAGTTGAACAGGACAACAGCCTCAAATATCTCCCTGGGGTCACACAGAAACCTCTCCCCACTTTCTCACCCTGTTACAATATGGAGCACGCGAACAGTTACCACACTTTTTGTTGAATGTATTAGATATGGCTGTGCCTGAACAGCTTTTCATCTACCCACACGTAGCCAAAACCATCTGAACCCGTACTATGATGTTTTAAGTAAGTCATGATGTTTTAAGGAGCCAGGATACAAAGATAAAAAAAGGTGGAGAGGAACAGATTTCCCTCAGAGCTCACAGTTTAATGTGGAGAAGGGGTAGTTATGGGTTCTAACAGCTGTGTGGAGGGCGTGGGAGCAAAGGAGGAACCTAGCAGTCCTTCTCACCTTGAAGAGAACAGGAAAGCTTTATAGAGGAGGTGGCACTTACCTAAGTAGATGAGGAAAGGGAAGGGAATACTTAACTTTAAGCAGAACTGACAACACTCACAAAGGAAATCTGAGAAAATGCAGTCTGTTAAGGTAAAGGCTATCATTACAAGGCATCTTAAAAACTGGGAAAATTGCTTTATGAAGGAGGGAGTAGGGAAGGAAATGAAAAGTCAGAGGGTCAAACGAGATAAGTATCCTTTAAGGAAAAAAGAAAGTCAAATGTTACTGTGAGCTCGGAGACTCCTATTTCCCCTGAAAATTACGGCCTAGGAATGAACTGCCGTCCGTCCGTAAGGCAGCTCACCCCCAGGTTAGCTGTCCTTCAACCACATCACACCTCACACCACTTGTCAAGTACAATGGTAACTAGGGAAAAAACAGAACACTCACGAGAGTAATTATAATATCGGAATTAACTAAACTTCATAATCAGAACAGTTAAAAAATAAAATGGGTATATAAAAAAAGCTTACTACAGGCCTAAAATAATTTCTAAGAAGCTAGCTGTCAACCAACTGAGAACTTCTCACTTGCTTGATTTCTCACGGAGGCTGGGGCAGAGATTGCTGGCACGGACACAGACTCCCAGGAATGAGGAAACCATTTAGAGACCAGCCTCTCTGCTCCAGGGGTTCCAGAACTCAGAGACACAACTCCTGCCGCCCGGAAGCAACGCCCTGTTAGGAGCATGGGGACAGAGCAGGCGAGCACTGTCAGGGCCCCTGGCTTCCACACATTCAAACCCCGACATCAAACGCGTACTGCAAACGCGTACTGCAGGACCTCTGTCTTTGTAACTATCTTGTCAGAGGCCCCCCGATGACTTCTGTCTATAACTACAGACAAAGGGCAAATCACAAACTTAAAAAGTTAAGTTGCCTGAATGGATGGTAAAGAATTAGCCATTCCTCAAAAATTATTAGAAAGACCCCAATTGTCATGTTTTCTGCAACTTTTATGAAAATCCACTCCATTGTTTGAAAATAACCTAATATTCTTAAAAATAATTCCTACCCCTAAAAATGATTCATTGTTCTCATTTTAAGAGTCCAAACATTCTAACACTGACTTTCTAAAATTGCTACGTGAAAATGCAAAGTGAGATACATTAGAAACAAGTTTTCTTAGAACCCAGTGCTTAAAAATACAGAAACAAAAACCTTTTCAAATTTTTTACCTCAACAGTTGGGAATGGAAGGAGGGACGAATTACAGGCAAAGTAACATCGATAAAATCCTTCAGGTTCTGAAAGCCTCCTTACTTTTTAGAAAAGATCTCCGAACGTCTAACCTCTACAAAAATGTTTCAGCATCTCATGCTTAAATCCAGCACATTCAAAATTACGAAGTTTTGCCAGTCACGAGCAAAAGCATGACCAAGAAAAAGAAACGCTAATCATTGCTTCTCCTGGAAACAGTGAATAAAGCGAACTTCTACATAAAACAAGGTTCTACTGCATCAAAAGCAGTCTCTACATTTGCAATAATATATGTAGCCTTTAAAAAAATTTTAATGTACATTTCTCAATTACAGTTTACATTCAACATTATTTTGTATTAGTCTCAGGTATACAGCACAGTGGTTAGACAACAATCATGTACCTTGCAAAGTGTTCCTCCCATATCTCCAGTACCGACCTGGCACAATATTATTGATTATTCCCTATGCTGTAGGTTACATCCTAGGTAGCCTCTGAAAAAGCCAGTAAGTAACCATTTGAATTCATTAATATCAATACTATCAATACACACTTCCTAAGCACCTGTCAGTAATACTTATTTGATATCCATAACAGGTCTGTGAGTTAACTAATATCACCCCAAGTTTTAGAAGAGAAACTGATTCTCAGAAATTCAGTAACGTGCCCAAGGACCTGCACTTACAAAGTCAGGCTCCAGAGCCGCTAGTTCTTTAACTCTGCACCGCTGCTCAAACACTAACACTGCACTAGTCGCTTTGTAGTCTGACCCACTCATAATTGCCCATAGCTATGCCACTCAAAATAATGCCAATGAGTCTGCATGTTTAGCTACAAAAAAATTAGTTACTTTGACTATTTAATGCACAGGACAATGATTCCCTTTGTATCCACATTTTTGTCATTACTACAAAACTATCTTTCTTCAATGGAGTGTAGCAGCTGGAGAGTTTAAATAGAGGAAAGACGCTAATGGAAATGCTTCAGCAGTTTTGCCTCATTGGAAAACATGAAAAACAGGAGGAGACTACTTCAGATACAAATCAGAGGTTAAGCAACATGCTTGGTTTAAATTAAACTGACATACACAAACTAACCTATTAAGTGTTGTAATTCAAACTAAATAAAAAAAATCACCAAACAAAAATTTGGAGAGTGCACCACACTTTTGCAGAGCATCTTTAGAGAGATTATTTTATTTCAGTTCCCGATGATGCTAGTAGGCAGGCAAGGCTGATACATCCATTCTGCACTTAAACTAAGACTCCAAGGCTCTGAGAAATCTGTTACTAAACAGGAAAGATAGGATGAGAAGTGGTTTTGTTTTTTGGGTTGCTTTCCCCTAATTCTCAAGTTGGTATCCTATGATCCTATAATATTTCTGAACCCAGTCTCCACTATAATTAAGAAATATGGGGATGACACAGTTCCGAGCACTTGGGACTACGAATATATACCAAAAACAGTTTATATACAAACTATAGCTCTTTTGCATGATAATAAAACTATTTGCAAAGAAAAAACTACCAGAGAAAATGTTATCAAACACCACCTTTTATCTCTCAGGATATTTATCCAGCCTTCCTCACCATTACCATTAACAGCCCAAAGCAGAGATAACAGTTTAGAGTAAGGCTGCCAAAGACATTAAGCTACTCTTCAGAAAACTAAAAAAAAAACATTCACAGATTATATGAACACTTCTATTTACTGAAATAATGACCACTCCTCTCTTAAAATGTTCCAAATGAATGAGAACTTGGATCTGCAGGGGATGATCAGAACTTGTGACAACACAGCAGACGCACGTTTACATTATATGCCAAACACATTCTACAACCAACGAGGCACATCTTTGATTCTGAACTACCAAGCAGACAATATATTTATGGAGTAACATTTAAAACCAAAATCTACAAAGGTTTTTAAGAAGCATATATCTTGTCAGATGACATCCTGTTCCTCCTGCAGGATATAAGATTGTTCAACATTGCTAACACCACTTAATGATTGTGAAATTTTTTAAGAGAAAAATTTGGCAGCCATTGCACAAGAGATCTAGTCCTTCAGCCTCCGCCTCATTAGCAAAACAAAAACCCAGAGCAATCATCTCCTGTTGTGCAAGAGTAGATACCCACACCTTGAGCAGTGGGCACCAAGGGCAGTGGGCACCGAGGGAGAGGTTCTAGGAACAGGCAGGCCAATGATCCCTTTATTTGACTTTTCTGGGGCTAGCTCTGCTTTATAATGTAAGAAACAAAAGGTTACTTAACCTAGGGTCTCAAGAATGATGGAGATTATCTAATTCAAAACGTATAGTGTCTGAAGCTCTATGTATATTATTGAACCTTGCTCAAAGTTTAAAAGAAAATCAAGTTTCCTTTCCTTGTGACTTTAGGAATTCAATTAAAGTGCTCAAGATTATATTAAGCCTGCACATCCCATTTTCCAGTTCTTAACAGCCCCATAATCCTGAAGTTGTTTTAAAACAGGATCCAATCTGTACAGTGAATTGCCAATATTACTCTGTTCCTTCATTGGAACAGCACACATTAAATAACTGTAACATTACTGCCTAAGATGGTATCATCAATCTTTAATTAAAAAAATTAAGACGTTAATCAATATTTATTCACAAGCAATTAACAGTTAACTAGAATCAAGAATTTGGCAATACAGGAAAAAAAAATGACATTCCGCAAATGCAGTTATCTGTTAGCCTAAGTATGACATCATTTATGCCTTTCAGAGTAACTCAACAAAGGGGAACTCAACTCAGTCAAGTACCCCAACTCCCTACTCTGATTCCATTCACGTTAAGAATCTATCCACTAAACTATCAGAACAAGGGGTTTAAATGCAAGTTATACAATAAATTCTAAGACACAGTACATCTGTGTGTCAAGCAATGTGGGAGGCGCTGAGTATACAGAAAGGATTCCTGACCTCTAAAGGTTCAGTTTTAAGCATTATGTTGCAATGATTCTGTCAGAAGGAATCTCATCTAGGGAAGTTCTTTAGTCACTGGCTAGGCACAGATACCATACTCACCCCTCTTAAGGGTTTACAACCTTAATCATGGAGAACCCTCTAAAAAATGTTATTTCAGTTGATACTCTCTGAATTGACATTGACTGAATTACTGAAAACTAACTACTGTACCCTTGTAATCTTTTCTTACAAACACCACTAATGTCTGTCTACCCAAAGCAAAGCATGCAAATGCAATTCACAAGTGAATTCATAATTGTTGGGTATAAATTTATTGATAAAGTCAACATAAAATGCAACATCTGTCAATATCCTGAAACATTCCTATCAGCTTATAAACATTCCCAATAAACCTCCAATAATCATTCTCTAATTCAGATCATTCCCAGGGTAAAAAGCACATCTTGACAAACAGTAGAACCAAGTGTGTTTTCCTCTCCTGCCCTGCAGTGCTGTCACATGACCCAGTAACAGATCAGGATGGGATTAGTCAGACAGGAGAGAAACCCTTCATCTGAAATTCTTTTTAACCAATGAGCCACCCACAAAGAGGCACTCTGGCAACTAACCAGCGCAAATATAGTCCTGCCACCTGGGGAAAGAAACATCAGGTGCTTTCCCAAGTTTTAAGTCTACTTCCAGGGCTCATCCCCAGTTCCTAAGAAAGCTGTGAAGAGGTCTGATGCTACACAACTGTACTGTTTCGTAATAAAGAGCCATTTCTTGAGCAGTTCACTTAAACCTGGTTTTTTAAGGCCTTTTTATAATCACAACACTTAAATATTCCTATGCATATGATTTGTATAAATCATGCTATGTGAGCAAAGATGCTTGGTTTCCCCAAGACAGCCTTGCACTCAACCAAGTTAGGTTAACTGGTCAGCAAATGAACAGGCAATGGTAGAAAAAAGCCCGGCAAGAATTCAGAGACCTGGAATTTTAGTTCCTGCTCTGCCAATAAGCAGGTGTCTAAAGCCTGGCAAGTGCTGTCCCTCCAGCAACCTTAGGCTCCTCACTGTAAAATGAGAGGATTAGACTAGATAACCTGCGGGGTACTTTTCAGCTCTAGCGTTCCGTGATATCTAGGTGTCCTGCTGTGGAACATCCCCTCCAACCAACGTCTCCTTCTGCCTACCGGCCGACCTCCATCCCCGAAAGGCCCGACAACGTCAGCGACACCTTCGCCCGCGGCAAGAGCTGCCCTGAGGTCCAAGCTAGTGAGAGCAGATAGGGAGGGGCCGTTCCCTCGACCACTAAATACCCAAATGAGGTCAGGCGAAGATGAAGACTGGAGTGACAAGAAGCGGCCTTCCCGAGGGAGGGAAGCTAGTGCCTGAGAATGCTCCAGCCGAGGGAAGTTGGAGAGAGCAGGAGCCCACCAACCCGAGGAAAGTTCCTGCTGGTGCTCTTTCCCTCACGAAAATATAAGGTACACTCTAATCTTCTCACCTGTGGTTGAGGGTACGGGAGGATGCGAAAGATAAAAATAAATAATTCATCCCCCACCCCCAAGCCACTGGCTAAGCAGGTGAGTTATGAGCAAGGGGCTGGGCTAAAGAGCCAAGACAAGATCCATCTTGCCCTCTGATACTCACTGAGGCGAGGCTGGGAGAGGTAGTTCCGGCTCACTGCCAGCGCCTGCTCCCGAGATCCCACCACTGGCCCACTGGTGGGCACGGGTAGCTCGGGTGCCGCCCCGTTCACAATCCCCCGCATCGCCCGCAGCGCCATCTTGTCTCCTCTGTCCCGACTGGCCCCGCAGCAACGCTGCGCAGGCGTAGATATAGCTGGGGCAGCCCGCGCAGCCGGCTCCGCCCCTGCGCGCTGCGGAGACCAGACCTCGCCCCGCCCCCTTCGCGGCTCTCCGCTGGCTTCCTCGTGACTCGGCGTCCGCGTGGGCGGGACTGAGCCTGCGTGTCAGCTGCGAGGAGCTGACCAGCGTGCTGGGAGGGTGGGTGGGTGGGAGGGAGGGAGGGAGGGACCGTTGCCGGGGTTTGGGAAGCTGAAGAGGAAGAGGGTTCCAGAGAGAAAAGCAATGCATTTAAGGGAGAGAGAGAGTAAATGAGGAAAAAGGGAAGTCGGTAAGGGAGGGAGTAGAGGAAATGGGACGGAGGGGGAGGGAGGCAAGCGCCTACAAGAAAACGTCAAGTGATGTCCACTGTATAATGGCAATTCATGACATTGAATGAACTCAAGGTCTAAAAACACACTTTGAAAACCGAAAGCAATTAAGTACAAATAGGCAGTTACAGAATAGCCATGGGGATGTAAAGTACAGTATAGGAAATGGAGCAGCCAAAGAACTTAAACGCATGACCCATGGACATGAACAATGGTGTGGGGATAGCCTGAGGGAGTGGAGGGTGCTGGGGGGGGGGGCAAAGGCACAAAAATTGAGACAACTGTAAGAGCATAATCAATAAAATATAATTTTAAAAATATGTTTTAATAAAGCCTATTCTGTTGATTATTAAAATAGGGTGCTATGTGCCATCGTTTCTTTCAGTATCTTCCTGTTCTATTCATTCACTCATCTATCATTCAAAAACCATATATTGGACTGTTTTAGGGTGGGGGTAGCAGCGTGAAGAGCAAAGTGGAATGTATTCGAAAACTAAGAGTCAGAACTAGCTAGAATAAACAGCTGGCTGTGTGCAGTGACGGCCCAGGCTTGAGGGCTGAGTGACCGAAGGGACTATGGTGAAGGAGGTGGTGAACTTTGCTGGTGGTGGAGGAGGAAAAGAGAAAAACTGATTATCTGGGGGGTCTGTTAAATTTCCTGTGGAATCTTCAAAATGAGGTTTCTACTGGACTCTATAGGTAAATATCTCAAGACACGCTATCTGGGCTGAACTGAGATCAAAATTTGTGTCATCATCATGTTGGTGATATGGAAATAAAAGAGATTTAAAAAGTGTGTGTGTGTGTGTGTGTGTGTGTGTGTGTGTTGTGGGAAAATGTGAAAGATTGACTTTTAAGGGATGGCTAAGATTAGGCTATGAACAAAAGAAGAGGATATTGCAATCAAACTTGGACTGATAGTAGAGCTATTGAGAACCCAGACCACACATCCTAGAAGCAAACAGAAGAGAAAATATGGAGGGGTTATTGTATAATGCCAAAAACCGAAGGGAAGACAAGTAACAGGGGCACTCCAAGTATCCACTGTGCTTGACCATTAGAAGACCATTATGTTACAATGGAAAGATAGATGCTTAATGAAGACCAATACAATTTTTGCATGGGTGAAAATATTAGGGTTTGAATGTATACCATGGTGGTATGTTACAGATGAAGTGAGAATTACTCAGTTACATAAAGTCTGTTTTAGGTGCATCTCATCCTTTTGAACCACACCACTGATGCAAGTATTCCTCAATTTTGAGTGAGATCGAACATCATTTGGTATATCTTATAATCAAAGAAAAGGAAGATGAAATCAAAACCATTTTGTTTTGATTCATGAGACTGACTACAATTTTTTACCAATGTCCAAAGTTGGCAAGAGATTAAGGAGACAAGAATTTTAACATATTATTGCTAAAAGTAAAATTGGTATGCTATCTAGAAGAGCAATTTGGTGGTATCAGACTGAAATATTTCATTGTTAGAAACTTAACCTATCCTTAGAAAAAATCTATATATTATATGAGTGTATATGACAAATAATTCTACTTTTAATTTAATAATGTGTTTTTTCAGTCTTTTAACATATTTGCACTGATATGTTTCCAAATAAAATTCATGACATCTTACCTATAAAAATTATAAATCTGCCCTTCTCATGCTAATTTTTCACACTAATAGGTACATTTCAGATAATATCAGACTGTTAGCTATCATTACACCTTTTATCTTTTAATTTTAGAAGTAATTCAAAAAGTTTACTTTTTAAATTTTTATTTATTGATTTGAGAGGAAAAAAACATTGTTTTGTTGTTCCACTTAGTTATGCATTCACTGATTCTTGTATGTTCCCTGACCAGGGCCCAAACCCACAACCTTGGCATATCAGGGTGATGCTCTAACCAACTGAGCTACCTGGCCGGGGCTCAAGATGTTTACTTCTTAAAATTTTTTCTTTAACTTTTTACTCTGTGAGCAGGAATTAGTTCTGGTCTGTAGTGTATATGCAAAGTATTAACCCTAACATGTATCGAACAAATATTTGAACAACTGATTATGTATACTGGAGACATACAAAGTCCTTGTCCTCGCGGCACTTACAAGAGGGGAAAAGTCAGAAAATAAACAACATTAATCAAATGCATGGCACAGGCAAGTGTAATGAAAAATAATAAACAGGATGAGGGGTGAGAGTGATCAGGATAGATTTTAGATGGTATGGTCAGGGAATGCCCCTCTCAGCTGTCTGCGACCTAAAGTGCAGAGAGGAAGAAAGTCATGGGAAGTTCCAGGAGCTGTGTGATCGAGGTAGACAGAAGAGTAAGTGGAAAAGCCTTGAGTCAGAAGGAAAGTAGTGGCTAGAAAGGATTAAGCTAAGTAGAGAGCAATGGGGGAGAGAGCTGGTCCAGATCAATAAGGCCTTGGAAGCCCTGGATACGGGTTTGAATTTTATTCTTAGTGTGATTAGAGTTCTATAAAGGGATAATGTGACCTCATTAGGCTTTAAAAAGACATCTTGTTTATTGGTCAAATCATGGACTGGGGCAGAAGACAAAAGAGACATTGAGAGAGCAGTTAGGAACCACCTAGGTGAGCAGAGAGGGCTCCGGCGGAGTGTTGGTGCTCCTGCAGCCCACCTGCAGAGCACGCTGGCCGCACCGCTGTCACAGAGCTCATCGCTGTCGTGACAGCACTGGTAACTGTCCCTTCATGTTTTTCTCCTCTACTGCCCTATCTGTAACCTGATACAGAATCAAAGGGATTGGCATGGGGATGTAGAGAAGAGTGTAATGGGGAGAAGTATTTTGAAAGAATAAATGATAGCGATAAAGCCAAGCTTGCTGGAAAACAAGGGTCTTGCACTGGGGACACATGGAAATCTCAAGCCTTATGAAAAATGTATGCATATGGGCATTTTCCATGGAGATAACCCATAGATTTCTATCAGATTCTCAAAAGAGCCTGAAACTCTTAAAGAAAACAAAATACTAAGCAGAATTCAGTAATTGGAAAAATGGTATCTTTGTTTATAGAAACATAAGTTAAATTATATTTCTATCTAGTAGTGTCAGATACTCACAGTTGTATTACTTGACACCATCTTCAACTTCTTAGTCAAATACAATTGTTTTTATTTTATAATGTCTGAGGGTCTTATAATGGTATCTGTGTAGAGTGCAGGTAGCTCAAAATATTAGTCAACTAAAATTGAACACAAAAGTTTCTCAGAAGTATATAAAGCATTAATATCTAAACACTTTACCTCGAGTTTTTCAAAAAGTTTTTCCTTAATATATAAGAAAGACAGGATAAAACAAATATTTTACACATAAAAATGCAGACAGGAAATTGTAGAAAATGTTAGTTTTCCTAATAATAAAGAAATTCAAACTGAAACAACTGTGAGGTTCTACTGTATCTGGGAAGTCAGCAAAACTAACCAAGTAATTTTTTTTAAGTGCAGGCAGAGTTCGGGACCATGAGGTGTGCCAACACATTTCTCCAGGCTGTGTAAACTGGCCACTTCTTCTGCAGAGCAACCTGGTATGGCCCAGGGACCATAAAAGTGTTCATCATGTTTGATCCAATAATATGACTTGGTAATCTCAAAATGGGATGGATTGCTAACCAAAGGAATATGATCATAGCTTGTTATGGCAATACTATTACTCATCATAGTAAATATCTAACAATAATAAACTGGATAAGGATTCTATATTTAATGGATATTGGCATGCATATGATAGATAGCTAGTAGAATTTAAGTATATGGAATTATTTATACAAAATAATACTGAGTGGAAAGAGCTAAACTTACATAGACCAATTGCAATCATATAAAGTACTTTTATACACTGATAAAAATCAGAAGACACTGTGCTGTGATATAAATAATTGAGAATGCAGTTTTCTTTGGAGGAGGGGTCTCTTCTTTCCTTCTAAAATGAACATTGAATATCCAAAGTCACATCCACTCACACAGAGAGCTTTGACTAGGTGACAGGGGCTGGAATATGTACTATGGTTAAGAAGCTCTGGAGCCAGACAGTTAGTTTAAGTCCCAATTTTTTCAGTTATCCTTGAACAAAAATATGTTTGTTAGAGAGAAAAAAATTCTAAGTCTCATTTGCCAGCTAAGGAGCGTAGTAGTACCTTCTTCATTAACTTATAAGTATTTAAAGATTAATGCAAAGCTTTTGGCATAGCAAGGGCTAAATATATTTAAACTAGCATTATTATTATATAGTTTGACTGATTGATTGCCCAATCAAACATTTACATGTTAATTACTATGTGTCAGGCTCTTTTCTAAGAGCTTTCATAAATGACACATCTCCCTGACTAGTTTGTGTTAAGCGGTGACTATACCTTGTAAGTTTCTTGTGTCTTTTACCTGTAACATCCAGCAAGGTAACCTACACATAGTGCTGAATAAATACCTATTAGATGAATGAAAATGTGTTACTCCTTTCTTAAGGATGAACAGTCCTCTGCCAATCTTATTTATACAGGGCTTTTTTTTCCTGAGGAATACTCACTACTAAGATAGTATTCTGGTTACTGTCCTCCTATTATTTGTTAAAATCCTGTCTTTGCCTTACCCCCAAGGAATGTAAGACTGGCCCCAACAGTAGGGAATGTGGTCAGAACATGA